TTCATTGACATTGGTTTATTGTTTAATTTGTTACATACTATCAAAGTCCCTCGAACAACGGTTGAAAATTAACTAATTCTGGTGTATATTAAGGATTTCTTTGGTTTAAACATCATTGTTATGCGAAACTATTAAATGTCTTTACCACCATATGCACTATAAAGCATTTTTCGAGTTTTACAAATTTCAAATTGAAAATGTGAAACGTACCAAACCTCGCTCAATGAACAGAAGTGACGTAATTTCGACAACATCACCGATAGTACTTTATCCCGAAAAACTAATTTTTGTCTTAATACATTTGACACCAACGTTAATTGTACGTTTTATAAACTTTACCTTGACTTTCACTGCAAATGTGCCGTCAGGAGTGCTCAGCAAGGTAATTGTCTATTCAATCAATATTTCTCGCCTTGGCTAACGGTTTACTCTCTCAACAGCGGAACGGAAGACTTTCACAGCGCCATCTAACACTAGAATGAGCTTTCAGGCACGTGTAAGTTTGTATCCTCATAAGAAAATTCTTCTTCTGTTTTTAATTTATGACACGAAACATAACATAACATCGAGTCTCAGGCAAATAAATTAAGCCGGCTAGCCAATCAGAGCAGCCCTTATATTATCTCATTCTTATGACGTACTTTGCGATCTTCAAAAGGGAGCTTAAGCAATGACGACGACGACCACAACGACGGTGCCCAGTAAAAATAAATTAATATTTTACCTACGAATTTCACAATTGTCTACATCTGCTGACTGCGCCTATGGCTCTAAAAACGTGCTCAGACTAAATATGTAATGACAGCGTTCCATTCCATTCCAAAATTAGCCACCGTCTAGCCAGCACTACGCAGAATTTGGTCATTTCACGTTGTTGTTTGATGGAGAGGACCGTCACGAAATATCCAGATTTATAACTCACGTGCACAGCGTTCTCGTGTCCGTTGTCGTCGTGGTTAGCTTAAGCTCCCTAATATTACGGGGACACCATGATGAGCACAAATTCAAAGTGCTGAAAAACAATAATCTTATTTACAACGATGGAAACCTAAAAATAATGGTATAGTTTTGCTTAAAGTTACTAACCTAACCCATTGAAGCTGTTAAAGTGGTTTTACCAGCAGTTACGCAAGCTTCACGTGTTGATCTAAAATCGCAAAAGTCTGGTAGACTATCAAATTCTGTGTTTTTGTTTTGAAAAAATCACAATTTAAGAATAGATACAATTTTGCTCCGACCTTCAACAATTCACTTCCTTTGCATCTCGAACTGGCGTTCGTGATGTAAAGGTACTTTGTCATTGCTTTAGCACCACTTTGACCAAAACTGCTGCATCGTCCTGATAGTGTCCTTCCATACTTACTCAATCTGTAAGAGGACAACGCAACATTAAAACGATTTTATTAACACTAGAACTAACCCAATTATATATTGTTGCAACATTAAGGAAACCTAATCTACAATAAATAATTTGCTCATCTATGTGTTTCTGGGAGCTGATTCGTTGATTAGATCTACCCCCGCCCTCTTACGCAGACGCTCTTCAAGCACGTTACGCAACCTTGGGAGAAAAACCGTTTGTCACGCAATCTTAAGTAGAGAGATTGCGTGACAAACAGATTACGTGACAACCCGAAGGAAGCCTGACTGCGAAAGAATGAAGCCCCTGGTATTCATAATAACCCTATACACTTCCTCTGTTACGTCGTTGCCGAAAACAATTCTGAACTTGTATCAACCCCGTCAGAAGGTGCTTGTATCAAAGGTTCTAATCTGCCGACATTCATCCCTCCGGATTGGTGCGGAGAGAGTGTGGAAGCTAGAGACAGCGAGGACTGTGAGTTCGATCTTGAAGACAAGTCCGAGTGACTTCCCCGGCTGTCCACTGTTGTTGAAAATGTTTCTGGTATCGTCGCCGGGTTGCGGTACTTTTTCGCTGATTCAGGAGAAACGCTGACAGGTTGAGCTACCCCAGGGTGGGTGTGAAGGTACGGTGCTGCACGGGGTGATGATGGAGGACTGGAACGACCGGAAATAAAAGAAAAGCAGATTATGTATACCGCCAAAGCGTACATAGTGGGAGGTGCGGTGGCCTCATGGTTAGTGTGCTCATCTCTGGATCGAATGGTCCGGGTTCGAGCCCTGGCCGGGGACAATGTGTTATGTTCTTAGGCAAAACACTTTACTCTCACAGCGCCTCTCTCCACCCAGGTGTATATGTGGTTAATGGCAAACTTAATGCTGAGGGTAACCCTGCGATGAACTAGCATCCCACCCAGGGGCGAGTAGAGATACTCCTAGTCGCTTCATGCTACGGAAACCGGGATAACCTCCGGCCTGACGGGCCACTTGGCTCGTATTGCTTTAGCTTAAGTTCACAACTTGTTTTTATTTCTAAATGTTAACTTGAACTAAAGTACTTGGCTCGTATCCAGACTCCACCATTTTTTTTAGACATACACAGTTGTCTAGTTCCTTATCAACTGACAGAATACATGAAAACAGGCCTCCATAATTTGAACACATAAAAACAGAGTTTAATTTTCCATTGAGCATTTACCTCCGTTGATCATCATTTTGCGATGAGGCCTGATTTCTGGTGGAATCTCTTTTTGAGTTTGTCATGTACACATCACCATTAGACAGTTCACTCGCTGGGTCCTCTACTCTGCCCAACATGCTATACCTACACACAAACAAACATTATCAAAAAACACTAACCAAACAAAAACAAAAAAATTCAGCTACAGTAAGCTACTGTATAGATGTAAATTATCCACCCATTCCCTAAGAAACAAATGGGTAGTCTCTCTGTCATGTCACCCTAGATATGAAAATGTGGTATGTGGTTACCTCAACAACTTTTAACAAGGTTTTGATTATTGTACCATCACAGAGATACATTTGATACAATTAAGTACGGGTTGGGGTAGGATGGCATATGGACTTTCAGCGTAAGTTTGTAGTATTTGTTTAAGGGTAAAGGTTAGAGAAGGCTAGATTGGTTGTTTGAATACCACATTACCTCTGTCCTTCATCCTCCTCCCATGTGTCCTCATCATCACTGGAGTCATCAGGAGCAACATACAAAACTTCCAGTGTTATCTCACCATGTACATTCGATAAGACTTTAACAGCTTCACTGTGTTTGGCTTCTTGTAGATCAATTCCATTTACTGCAAGTATGGCATCACCCACATATAAACCACCTGATCTACCTACGGGTAAACCCTCGTGGATCTCGGATACAATGATTGGTACACCATGTTCCTTTCCACCCTATTAAAAAAAATAATAATAGTTTTCTTTTTTTACATATTTGGACAACGGATAGTTGATTTAATTAATTCAATATATATAGTTACACAAGGATTTCCAGTTTAGCAGGGCTGGTTCATGTACCAATATAACATAAATCACAGTAATTACAACAATAATGATTCAATACAACACACACCAAGTTAAATAACAGAATAAATCGACTTAAAGTTGACTGAACATTGCTGCCTGAAGAAATGTACCAACTGAGAGCACAATTGAATTCAGGAGAGTTACATGTACTGTGGTCTGGGATCTGAAAATTCAAGGAAGAGTCATGTTTCCAACCCTTTACTTTCAGAAAGATGACTGTAATTGCTTGGTTGTTAGGAGAAGAAGTCTTAACTGGTTCCTTCTCCCAATCTGCAGTTATGGACATACATGTAAATGTGCAATAAAATCACTAATGGCAAATAACCAGTTTCATGTACATCAAGACATTAGGAAACAGGAATAGACAAAAATAGAAAATAAAATGAATGTCTAACGACTCATGTCAAAAGACTGGAAGCACAATCATGCTTTCGTTACACCATCCCTGGTCCAATAGGACCACGACAAGCCTACATGTACACTATCTTCTAAATAAGGATAAAGAGCTGCTGCAAATTTCTTCTTACTGTGATGGATATTCCTAGCCCCTCTGTTTTATCTTTGTGGATGACTACAGTTCTGGGTTCTCCTATTCCTCTCCTCTTCCTAGCTTTACTCTCAGCGTCCTCTTCTTCACCGACAGTGGCTTCAGCCTGGGCTGGTGGGGGTGGTGGTGGTGCTGGTGTCTTATTGTTGGGGTCCTTGCGGCCTCGGCAGGCTCTGATCACGGTTTTGTGTCGGTGTAAGTGTATTTCAGCCTCTATTTGATTCCACAGCTGGTCATGTTCACTGCCTCTCATGTCACGGCCAAGCAGTTGGATTTGCTGTATTCTGCCAAAAACAAACATTTGAATAAAGTAATATAACTATGTTAATTCCTGGCTGAGAGGTCCATATAGGGAAAAACTGTGACCAATATCTTGAAAATGCTGCCTGAGGCTGCAGGAAAAGGCCAGCAGTTTTCCTCTCTCTCAAATCACTTTTATTTGTTGACCTTTTCCACATGAACAATGTGCACACGATACCCTGGGCAGAGACAGGAAAATCCGGACTGTACTAAGAACCAATCAGATCGCAGGATTTGTTCCTGTGCCCTCTTGGAAAAAATATTATTTATTTTAACCCACAGGCACATAAAGTTCTGTCAATTACATTTGCAAGGTACAAGTCTGGGGTTATTACTTTGAAACTAAAATTTTTTCTCAATTTAAGTTAAAGATGAATATGTATGTAGCTTATTATGTGGTTAACAGCAAATATAATGAGCCATTGATACATCCTTTTTCTTACATGTAGTTTGGCATCCCTTCTAAAAGTAAAAAATCTGTGCACAGCAAAATGAAGCTTACCACATGTAACTAGCTACTTTAATGTTCTTTTCAGAAAGTCAACATCTCAGAGCAAGTCAAAGTTCAAATCAACAGTGCTAGTGTGTAACACCACTGTAGTGCCTTTTGCATAAAAGAACTACAGCTGTAAGGGTATTTTACTACAGGCCCTTATGGATACTGGTTCATGGCAGGTCCCTCAAGTCCACCCCCGGCATTGTCTGACTGAAATTACTCATATTATATGGTACACCTTACTGGAAAGTGACACTATCAATTGCCTAAGAACAACATTCAAAGACAAACTCATCCTTTACAGTACAAGACAAAAGTACAGTTCTGTAGCCATTACACTTAAACCATATCACATACCTTCCAGCTAGTTCCTTATCAAGATACTTGGCAGCCAGTCGTGCCCCATACACCTCTCCTTGAAGTGAAAACACATGGTTCCTCAGGGCTGTGTTTTCTTTTTCCAGCTGTTTTACTTGGCAATCCATGCGTGCTTCTTTCATTGCATTGTTTTTGTACCTAGTCATTTCATTTTCCTATTTAACAAATGTTCAAAACACTTAAATGCATATGATGGAAAAATAAATGAGAAGGATATATACCTGTACATACATACTGTCATGTACATCTATGTGTAAATAATACGCATGATTTACATGTATCATGGTCTTTGAACATGTATTCATGAAGTGTCTTTCCTAAGAATGCAACTCCCAATGAACTAATCAAGACAATACTGTTTGATCCTGTGTTCTACATCAGGGTTGTCACAAAGTTTGGAAGCAGGCAGCTTGTTTGGGAGTACAGTGTAGATGGCTGATTTTGTCATCTTTTTCCAAGAATCAGATTTATTTAACAGTCACAAAGTGTGGCCAGCTGACATCATGAAGCACATTTAGATCACAGTTTTTGTCAGTAGCTGGCTACTTTTCAAAACCCTGACTGCACTTATCAATAAATTTAGATCACTACTTGTGTTTATGTACTAGCTATTAAAAAATAATACTTATACAGCATAAGGACACGGAAACTTGACCATGTAAATACATACTAGTTTGTTCTTGATGTTTTCAGAGTCTAAGGGCATTCCAGCATTGGAATGTAGCTGAAGTTGAACAGCATGTAGTTGTAGTAGCAGATTATTAACTTCTTTCTCCAACACTTGTTTCGCAGCTTTCTCCTCAACTAAGTCATGCCTAAGGGCAACTAGTTCAGCCTGAGAAAAGAAAACAAGCATTGCAGGGTTTTCAATATTTCTACCTTGAAAGAACCTTTAAACATGTTTTTTGGGGTTAGTCCAGAACATATTTATTAGCTGCTGGCTGTCTTCAACATCAGGGGGTGGTTGTCCAAAGGAACTTAGGGGCTACATGTAAGAATTAATTTACAAACCATGCTAACCACCAGAGTGATTTTTTGTAGTTGTATTTTGTTCCTGGGGTGCTTCGATCTATGTATCTCCCCTGGTCATGCAGTGCACCACCACTGAACTATTTTTGATTTCTTTGAGTTCTTTTCTTTGATTTATGATTGCGCATTAAATGATACAAATGCAAAAATTTCAGAACACTGACTGGCTGCAGAGAGTACGTCAAAACTCAATTCATCCCAAACAGTGCAGAACGTTAAAATTGATTACAAACAGGTGAAATTGAGTGCAGAAAGTTGAAATTACACTGCATGTCCATTTATTATTTTTGTCAACGAGTAATCAACTGATTTTTCTCATTCAGTTTGGAGAAAATAAGCTGTCATAATTTTTCAAAGACTACAAATTGTACTTGCCTTATGGGCTTAAGCAGTTTTTTTTTTGGACTTTGAAAATTTACTAGTGCTTATTTATTTCAAATTGCACTTGAAATCATTTGATTACCTGAGTATAAATACACAGCTAAAATACATGTAGTTGTGTTGTCGGTTGTGTAAATTTAGGTAAATGATTAATAAGAGAGCAATGAGGTTTGCCATAATGTAGTGAAAACATTGTACACTCAGGTAAATAGTCAATAACAGTAGGGTTCAAAATAAAATTGACGTTTTTAGCCTGAATTTGTAGGCTTTTTCGTCTGTTTCTTAATCAGGTTAAAGAGAAGTCAACAATGTTGCTGATTTCAGCAACATTGCATCCAGATCTGTACATAATGTATATACATTGTAACACAGAACTCACATTATAGAGATCATTATAGGTGTTTAAAGTGAAATTGAAAATGTTTTGCTTGGCCATGATATCTTAGTTCTACTGGGTTACTGTTTGTTTTTAGTTTCCTTTTGCCTTGTACAAGACGTATTTCTCCCCTGAATGGAAATTTTTTCCTTAGAAGGGAAAGGGTAGACATACATGTACATGTATAAACTAACTCTAGCAGTTGTCATTGGGTGAAATCACATGGCCAAACCGTGGAGAACTGTCACAGTTTATCATCTCATGTCGTAATTTTAAACNCACATGTGGTTGAGGACAGAAATTTAAGTTAATTTATGAATGATTACAGGGAGATAATACATACATGCAAAAAGAAATAAAAAGTGTAAATACAAGGTTAGAATTTCTTCTAAAAAGATCTTAAAATTTTTTTTGGATCATTGGACATAATAAGGAGAATAATTTATAATTCATATCAAATTCACCACCAGTGACTTTTCAAGTGTCGCACCGTCAGTAAGTGACAAGTCACCTTACTGTAGTTAAAGAAATAACTTAAGCTTCAGTACATCAATAAATAAATATAATACAGAGCATTCAAAACTGACGAGAATTTTTCCCTTCACTATAAATCTAAAATAAAACTTAAAATCTGAATTTAAAGTTTTGCCAAACGAACAAGATGTCACAATATTACGGTTACGCTAATTCGGCTTAATAAAATTTTCAGACTCCTTAACAAACATTTCTGTGTTCAGCCACCTCAATATTAGATATCAAATGTATAAAGTGACCAATATAAAAGTATCTGAATGTTCCTTGTTGAGTTAAAAAGCTATCCAGTATGTTATTCTTTCAATACGTACGCTTATTTTAAAATTAATCTTCAAGCTCACCTCCAATTTTGCATTTCCTTGAAAAATTGTCTGCGCTTTGTGAACAAGCTGAGCGAAGGTAGAAGACAGCTGAGTCATTTTTTGTCGCCCATCATATGTTATTTCGCTCTGATCAGGGTCGATTTCTCCCAACAAGATGTCTAAATCGACAAATGTTTTGTCAAATTCTTTCTCTAAGAGATCCAACCAGCGAAACATAGACACAGCGACCGCCATCTTTGAAACGGCATGTGACGTCAGCATATGAGTAACAACTGCATGATGGGAAAATTTGCGATCTGTTAGAAGAAAAACTTGGACTGGACTTCCAATATTCTAGGACTAAAGTCTAAAGGCGAAATGAGAAAGACCCGTACAATTTTGCTCGCCTTTTTCAAAAGATAATTTACATTAGGAAGTATAATGAAAACAGGTGTCAAGTTTTTCATCTCTACACATAAATATTGAATCTCCGTTGCTAGATTCAGTTCAGACCTCCAACTCAAGGACACGAGACTATTTGTTTTTACATATTTTAAAATTTAATGGCGATAGTCTAATTAATAGCTGGCGAATAAGAAGAAAACAAGATGATAATAATGAATAGTAATGTTCAAACATATAGACACGTAAGGCCATGCGGATTATTTAGCTTTGATTCAGCAACTGTTTGTAATTGACTGGCAGTGTTTTGCTCGCAAATATCGCCGGGCCAGGCATCGGGAAATAGGGATATTCAGGAGATAGGGATTTACCGCCTTGCTTCCCCACTGAACAGAGCAATCAACTGTGTCCTCACTGGCTTCAGACAGAGAATGAACTGAAGCTAGCCCGGTCAACCCGTCTCATTTCCAGAATCAGTCTCCGCACCAGACTTTTCTCCGCCGGGTCGTTTAAACTTCCCCGTGCCGTGACTTCCAAAGTAGTCTGCAAACAGGCTCCCGGTGAGCCCGAACGAAGCGAGGGAGCCTGTAGACCAGGGCGCTTATATCAAATGGTGAGAGTGGCGATATTCTCTTGCAGATTTTTCACAGCGATGGCAGGGAATAAGACAGGGAATAAGAATCAGGGCTCTTATATGTAGCTTTATGCTCTAAGCTAATGGAAAAGGTGAGTTTTTCAGGGTCGAAAACAAGACTTCAATTTCGCGCTGTGAATGAATAATATCTGCTCGCTCTAGTTGTACGAGAAGGATTTTGCGTTTGTTATGTGGAGGAAAGTTATGTAAGAAAACTCTTTACTCTGGTATCGAGTTAATTTGTGAGTTTCCCAAACAATGCTTAATCATAACCAAACCCTGTTTTTGATAGTTCCTTATTGTTTCTGTTTGTTTGGCGAGTTTGCAAAAGTTTTTGAAAGCAAAGTCTGACGCGTACATTAAGTAGCTCATATGCATAGTGCAGCGTGTGCACTTCCACATCAGAGTCGGCGTTTTCAATTGTCAAAAAATCTTGACAAAGATTTCTTTCGTTGTGTTTTGAGCTGAGGTGCTGCAGCAATTTTCAACAACGCCAAAAGGCTGTTAACATCATGTGTGTTTCTTTAACATAGTGAAATTTTACACTGCGAAAATAAAATAGACAAAGAGTTTTGATAACTCAGCCAACAAAATCGAAATCGTCATTCGAGTTGAATAAAGAAAGCGTCATCGTAACTTTGCTGATTATCTCTGCTGTATTCAAATATTTTCAGTTAAGCTTTTAATATGTTCTCAAACATTTATCAACCTTAAACATAATTAAAAACTAGATATAAAATATGAGTTCGATGTAAGTTTTCACACGAAAGTGCAGAAGTCCAATTGTCATGTTTCACTGGCTGTACAAAACACGCATCGGCGGGCGATCTTATTTATCGACAACAGACAAGTTATTGAATTTTTACATAAACAAAACAGAGCAGCATCTACAGACATAAACTTTATTGTCACTTATTGGGCCTTTATGAAACATCAAGCGCTGCTTACAATTCAGTTGAAACTCAAACTTGCAATTATTATTATTTTTTTTTTTTTTACCTTTCGGCCGAGATAGACTCTGGCGAAATGCTCGCAAGCGTGTGGCAGGGTGTGGCAAGGGGAGGGAAACTTTGAAGTCCTGAAACGCTGCTATTTCCAAATATATCCAACTAGTTTTTCGCTGTGCTATGGAAAAGCCGTAATCTTCAACATATGTGAAACTTAGAATGGAGTAATGGGTAGCTCTTGTAAAAGAAGCAGCGGAACACAACTTGGTCAGTGATATAAAGCGGGACATAACTAAATTCGACACTGTCTTACTTCACTCAAACTTGAGCAGCTTACGACGAAAATACTGAAGTAAAATTCCGACAGACATGAATGAATTGAGTTGTGGGCCAAAAGCATCAAACATTTCGGGAATTTCGGCAGCCATTTCCCCGCGCTACATCCGCAAAATATCCTCGCAGCACGTACGCGCGTATACCGCACACGATGGCGCAATTTGTTCTAAAAATAGAAAAATTGTCCCATATCAAAGGGGCAGCCCCAATAGAAATGGCGCGCGCTTACGGTCTCCATCCCCGATTATGGCTCCTGGTAGAAGCTAGTGGAGTGGAGCCGTTTGACCGTGCTATAGCAATTTTTTTCTAGAGGTCAAAGGCATGGTTTCCGGAGTTTCCACTGTTATCTGCTTGTCGCTTCGCAGAGTTTGACACCTCGATCATATGCTTATAATTTCTTTAGGCTCATTTCAGTATTGCAAAATATGTTTTAAGCTCTCTAAGTATTGGCTCTGGAGGGACAAAGTTAACTTTGAAATATTCCCTGAACATGTTTCTTACTTACCGAGTCTATATTATGACGCCTGGCCCGGCTGTTTGATTTTATTAGGTTGATTAGAACTTTCTGCAAGCATAGAAAATGTAGCTTCTTGACAAGTCTAATTACTTCATTGACTGATTTGTTACAGGCTTATCACCAAGGGCGGATAGGCACATCAAAAACAAAGTCTACAGGNGATATTCCTAGCCCCTCTGTTTTATCTTTGTGGATGACTACAGTTCTGGGTTCTCCTATTCCTCTCCTCTTCCTAGCTTTACTCTCAGCGTCCTCTTCTTCACCGACAGTGGCTTCAGCCTGGGCTGGTGGGGGTGGTGGTGGTGCTGGTGTCTTATTGTTGGGGTCCTTGCGGCCTCGGCAGGCTCTGATCACGGTTTTGTGTCGGTGTAAGTGTATTTCAGCCTCTATTTGATTCCACAGCTGGTCATGTTCACTGCCTCTCATGTCACGGCCAAGCAGTTGGATTTGCTGTATTCTGCCAAAAACAAACATTTGAATAAAGTAATATAACTATGTTAATTCCTGGCTGAGAGGTCCATATAGGGAAAAACTGTGACCAATATCTTGAAAATGCTGCCTGAGGCTGCAGGAAAAGGCCAGCAGTTTTCCTCTCTCTCAAATCACTTTTATTTGTTGACCTTTTCCACATGAACAATGTGCACACGATACCCTGGGCAGAGACAGGAAAATCCGGACTGTACTAAGAACCAATCAGATCGCAGGATTTGTTCCTGTGCCCTCTTGGAAAAAATATTATTTATTTTAACCCACAGGCACATAAAGTTCTGTCAATTACATTTGCAAGGTACAAGTCTGGGGTTATTACTTTGAAACTAAAATTTTTTCTCAATTTAAGTTAAAGATGAATATGTATGTAGCTTATTATGTGGTTAACAGCAAATATAATGAGCCATTGATACATCCTTTTTCTTACATGTAGTTTGGCATCCCTTCTAAAAGTAAAAAATCTGTGCACAGCAAAATGAAGCTTACCACATGTAACTAGCTACTTTAATGTTCTTTTCAGAAAGTCAACATCTCAGAGCAAGTCAAAGTTCAAATCAACAGTGCTAGTGTGTAACACCACTGTAGTGCCTTTTGCATAAAAGAACTACAGCTGTAAGGGTATTTTACTACAGGCCCTTATGGATACTGGTTCATGGCAGGTCCCTCAAGTCCACCCCCGGCATTGTCTGACTGAAATTACTCATATTATATGGTACACCTTACTGGAAAGTGACACTATCAATTGCCTAAGAACAACATTCAAAGACAAACTCATCCTTTACAGTACAAGACAAAAGTACAGTTCTGTAGCCATTACACTTAAACCATATCACATACCTTCCAGCTAGTTCCTTATCAAGATACTTGGCAGCCAGTCGTGCCCCATACACCTCTCCTTGAAGTGAAAACACATGGTTCCTCAGGGCTGTGTTTTCTTTTTCCAGCTGTTTTACTTGGCAATCCATGCGTGCTTCTTTCATTGCATTGTTTTTGTACCTAGTCATTTCATTTTCCTATTTAACAAATGTTCAAAACACTTAAATGCATATGATGGAAAAATAAATGAGAAGGATATATACCTGTACATACATACTGTCATGTACATCTATGTGTAAATAATACGCATGATTTACATGTATCATGGTCTTTGAACATGTATTCATGAAGAGTCTTTCCTAAGAATGCAACTCCCAATGAACTAAGCAAGACAACACTGTTTGATCCTGGGTTCAACACCAGGGTTGTCACAAAGTTTGGAAGCAGGCAGCTTGTATGGGAGTACAGTGTAGATGGCTGATTTTGTCATCTTTTTCCAAGAATCAGATTTATTTAACAGTCACAAAGTGTGGCCAGCTGACATCATGAAGCACATTTAGATCACAGTTTTTGTCAGTAGCTGGCTACTTTTCAAAACCCTGACTGCACTTATCAATAAATTTAGATCACTACTTGTGTTTATGTACTAGCTATTAAAAAATAATACTTATACAGCATAAGGACACGGAAACTTGACCATGTAAATACATACTAGTTTGTTCTTGATGTTTTCAGAGTCTAAGGGCATTCCAGCATTGGAATGTAGCTGAAGTTGAACAGCATGTAGTTGTAGTAGCAGATTATTAACTTCTTTCTCCAACACTTGTTTCGCAGCTTTCTCCTCAACTAAGTCATGCCTAAGGGCAACTAGTTCAGCCTGAGAAAAGAAAACAAGCATTGCAGGGTTTTCAATATTTCTACCTTGAAAGAACCTTTAAACATGTTTTTTGGGGTTAGTCCAGAACATATTTATTAGCTGCTGGCTGTCTTCAACATCAGGGGGTGGTTGTCCAAAGGAACTTAGGGGCTACATGTAAGAATTAATTTACAAACCATGCTAACCACCAGAGTGATTTTTTGTAGTTGTATTTTGTTCCTGGGGTGCTTCGATCTATGTATCTCCCCTGGTCATGCAGTGCACCACCACTGAACTATTTTTGATTTCTTTGAGTTCTTTTCTTTGATTTATGATTGCGCATTAAATGATACAAATGCAAAAATTTCAGAACACTGACTGGCTGCAGAGAGTACGTCAAAACTCAATTCATCCCAAACAGTGCAGAACGTTAAAATTGATTACAAACAGGTGAAATTGAGTGCAGAAAGTTGAAATTACACTGCATGTCCATTTATTATTTTTGTCAACGAGTAATCAACTGATTTTTCTCATTCAGTTTGGAGAAAATAAGCTGTCATAATTTTTCAAAGACTACAAATTGTACTTGCCTTATGGGCTTAAGCAGTTTTTTTTTTGGACTTTGAAAATTTACTAGTGCTTATTTATTTCAAATTGCACTTGAAATCATTTGATTACCTGAGTATAAATACACAGCTAAAATACATGTAGTTGTGTTGTCGGTTGTGTAAATTTAGGTAAATGATTAATAAGAGAGCAATGAGGTTTGCCATAATGTAGTGAAAACATTGTACACTCAGGTAAATAGTCAATAACAGTAGGGTTCAAAATAAAATTGACGTTTTTAGCCTGAATTTGTAGGCTTTTTCGTCTGTTTCTTAATCAGGTTAAAGAGAAGTCAACAATGTTGCTGATTTCAGCAACATTGCATCCAGATCTGTACATAATGTATATACATTGTAACACAGAACTCACATTATAGAGATCATTATAGGTGTTTAAAGTGAAATTGAAAATGTTTTGCTTGGCCATGATATCTTAGTTCTACTGGGTTACTGTTTGTTTTTAGTTTCCTTTTGCCTTGTACAAGACGTATTTCTCCCCTGAATGGAAATTTTTTCCTTAGAAGGGAAAGGGTAGACATACATGTACATGTATAAACTAACTCTAGCAGTTGTCATTGGGTGAAATCACATGGCCAAACCGTGGAGAACTGTCACAGTTTATCATCTCATGTCGTAATTTTAAACTCTCCAAGTTAATACAGGCATGATGACCACATATATGTACATGACTTGTACAACAATTACACACAGGAAATTATTCAGTATGTTATGCTATGCTATATTACATTGTAAAACTCTAAAAAAAATCTGAAGCAGTAAAAGCTTTTTAAAATGGTTTTAGACGCTTTTAATCAAAGTGATGTCCAAGTAACATACATGATCATGCCTATGCTTAAAGTGTATTATAACGTGCTGGAGATATTGCTCAATGACGGTCTCAGTTTCGAACTACTTGAGGTCAGAAACCTCTCCCTGATTGTCTGGGTTGGGACAACTAAGTTCTAACTGACGATTGTCCAAAGGACTAGTAAATCCTCACATTTTCACTTCACCTTAAAGACTAGCCAATTGTGCTTTCGGAGGCTTAATGCACTAATCAAAGCTACTTTAAAATCACTTATTGAATAGATCAAGCCATTGAAAAATCTCTGTATTTCTAGTGGAACATAGTATTGACAGCTGAAATTTCAAACTACTAATTGAAACTGAAACTACACAAATTTACATGTAAAACTAAACTGCACACTATGTCTGTAATAAATAAAGGACAGGTCTCCCAAAACTACTAATTACCATATCCATGGGATTCTTAAAATCATTGAAAAGAATTTGTTAACTTACCAACAAACTATATCTGTATTCATGAATGTTAAATTCACAATACACCTTATTCCAAAATGGCCGCCATTTTAGTACTCTTTTGCGTACTTGAAATTGAGCCCTTGTTGCCTCGTTTAAGGGAAAATATTCTTTTGAATTTCGAGTTTGAGAACAAGACAACAAGGGCTAATTTGCAAGTAAACAAAAGAATACTTAAATGGCAGCCATTTTGGAATAAGGTGTATAGATAGGTGAATAATTTCTACTTTTGTGTAGAAAGTAGAAAACATAATAATTGATGTTTTTGTATAAAATATAGAGTGTGGTTTAAGTAAGTGTGTACCTTTGCTTTCATTTTGTTTTTTTGTTTGTTTGTTTGTTTTTTTTTGTTTTTAACCGGTTTGACGTTTGTTTTCCTTAATTGTTTGAGAGCATGGTTACATACTTAATAATACACATGAAAAAATTACTCGATTCTGATTGGCTAAGAGCAGTGCAATTCAAGTGTAACACCAGTGCAAAAAGTATAACATCAGTG